GCAGAGTTAAAGACTAGACTCAATACAAAAGGCGGCGAATTTGACAAAATGAAAGAGTTCATGTCGAGAAAGTTTCCTGGAGAATTTTAAATTTTATAATGTATTTGAATTATAATTTACATTTTATTGACAATATTAATTTTAATTTTATTTTTCATTTTTATTTCTAATTTTTTTCTTTTTTAATTAATTTTTATATAGTCCGTCAGAAATCCGTCGAAATGTCTGTTGGAAAATGCCGTCAGAAGACTGTCGGAATTTCCGTCGGAAAAAATCCATCGGAATTCCGTCGGAAATCATCAATTCCGACGGTTTTCTGACGGATTTCTCCGTTAGATCTGATGTGTTTTTTTTGTAGTGATCTATGGATGTGTTGATTTTATGTATGTGAACATATACTTACTTGTTTTCTTTAAGTATCTTAAAATCTTTGTTTGGAACTTACCATTACAAGAAGAACACAATCGTACCAACTCTATCAAAAATTTATAATATATGCTTTTGAAATAAAATTAAGTTTTAAGTGATTTATTATAAAATAATTAAATGCTTTTTACATAAGATGTCTCACTCTCTTTAATTTAAAAGTTCTTTAAAAGATATTTTTAACCTCAGTAATAAATCAAGATCATTGTTAGACAATACTAGATAAATGAACATACTCCTACTGATCTTTAAGTATCTACAATGATTTATAATGTTTTACTTGAAACCAAATTTCATGACACTTTCATCAAACTTTAGATACCACTAGATGAGTACATGTGCGATGCGCCGATTTTTTTTACTATATAATTTATTAAAAGGTGTAGTTACAATTTATTTTATCATATATTTAAAAAAATTAAAAGATGTTGTGTACTTGAATAAACATACAATACATATTTACATATTATATGGATATTAACTATATATGTGATCAATGGTTTATTGATAAGAAAATATGAAATATATTATACCTTGTATATATATAATATATTAAATGGATATAGTGCAAATCATAGAAGTATTGTATATAATAAAAATTAATTAGAGAAACTCTTCAAGCACAACATAGATAGAGATGTACTTGTTCACAACGTATATTTACACAATAGCAATGCCGTGGTTTTATATTTTTATGAGCTTAAATAATTGATTTATAATTCTAATTTATACAGGTGCATTAAATATTTTATAAATATATATATATTAGGACTTTGATATCTTATTAATTTTAAAATTATTAATGGATCAAGTTTGAATAAAATAAATTATCAAATAATTATTAGTTTATAAAGAAATTGTTTTAAAGTTTATTATAATATTGTATAAATTTTTCTTCTAACTTTTTAAGGTTCAATATATCAAATAATTATTATTTTCATATTTGTATAATTGTTTTTATAATAATATTTTATAATATTAATTAAAAATAAGAAAACACTCTTAAATATAAAACATAAATTTTGTTAATAATTTTTAAAAACTGCCACAAAATATTCAATAAGTGTTTTTGGATATTAAGTATATATTGTTATTAAAATATATTATCTAATCTTTTATATTTTTCATATTCTTTTAGTATTATGATTAATAATATATTAAATTTATGCATTAACTATATTTTACATAATTTGTATCATTAAATTTTAAAAAATGACACATGTCATTTCTACAATAAATTAAAATGATGAGGTGGCACTCATATGGAGAGAGTTGGCCATCTTTTATAGTATATATTACCTTTAATATTGTTTCAGTCCAAATATTAATTTCTTTTAAATTTGCAGACCATTTCACCATAAACCTTCAATTATGAAGTCTTTAGATTGACATATATAGATATTATTTTATAAGTCTCTATAAAGAAAAACAGTTTTCACTTATTTTTGATGTAACTCGAAATTATTATGAGCTAATAATGCCATATTAATTCTGAGACAATCGTGCTTTCTTTCTGATCAAAATCTCTGGCTACAAATCTGGCTTTATGTCATTCAATATTGTCATTACAATCGAGTTGGTCTTACACTCAATTTCTTTATGTCTTTTAGACAATTGAATAACATCTCAATTTTCATTCTTATCTACCGAGTCTATATCATTTCTATGGCATCAATTCATTTATCAAAATCAACATCTTTTATTTCTTGTGAATAAGAAACCACATCTTGAACATCCCTTCTTTAGATTTTACTTGATAAAGCATGTAGTCACCAAAAATACCAAATCTTCTCAGATGAGTTAATCTTCTTTATTTCTTCTTGTGCTTCAAGATCATTATTGGCAAGATTTCATCATGAAGTAGATGATCATTCATTAGGTTATTCTCATTGTTTAACGGTTCAACAATATAAGAATTCCTAACATTCAGAACTGAGGGTAAATAGCTAATCACTCCCACTAATCACGTCATTCCTATAAAATCTAATATTAATGGTTTCTTTTTTTCTCGTATGATAAGCTGGACAATAAACATATATCTTTTAGATTTCTCAGGGTAACCAAAAACAAAACTACTGATAATTTTGAAATTTAATTTTCTTTCATGTAGATTATATATTCTTACTTTAGTTGGACATTCCCAAATTCAGAGGTGTAACAGACGAGTGTCCCAGTCTTTCTGCAATTCAAAATATATCTTTAGAACCGCTTTGCTAAGAACATTGTTTAAGCTATATAATGCATTTATCCACAAAGTTATAAGTTAGAATGACTTATAATGAATCTAACCATTCCCAGAAAAGTATGATCATGCCTTTCAGCCACACCATTCTGCTTAAGAATTCAAAGCGTTGTAAATTGGGCCATAATTCTTAATTTCTAAAGTATTTTGGCAAAAGATCCATGATGTTCTCTCATTTCATCGTATTTGCCAGAAAATGGCAAATTCCCCTGTAAACTAACAAGTTCCTGAGGATTCATATATGAACTATGAACCAATGTTAATAATTACATGAATTATCTAAAATTTTAAAATTACTACATGAACTAAAGATATATGGTCGATTCCACCAAAATTGCATATAATGTTATTTGCAGCGTTAGCGATTGCTGATTAGAACGACATGTGGTGTGAAAAAAGACAAAAACAAATATCTTCACCAATGTAATATTCATTCAAAAATATCATAACAATGAATTTGGAAGGCTAATCAAATAACAGTTATAAACTTGAAATAATAATATAATTATGTTTAACTATATTATATTATTTATACATACCTAAATCTATAATTATTATTCATGTAGTTATTGGGACCATATTTTTATATAGAAATTTTAAAGATGTATTATTTTATTAAGTTATAGAAATTTGCTAATTTGTATTTGGCCCGACTTCAGACAGACAAAATTTATCATTTTATACTCCCTCTGTTTCAAAATAAGTGTCACTTTGACACTTTTCACACAAATTAAGAAAATCACTAAAAGTTCTGTTTACCTTTTGTTCACACACAAAATAAAATTCTCTTTCTAATTAATATATTAAGATAACAAGGTTAAAACAGGGTTTTTATTTAAAATTTTACATTGGAAATATAAAACGATACTCTTTATGAAACAAAAATAAAATTCTAAAAAGGACACTCTTTCTGAAACGGAGGGAGTAGTAATTATTAATTTATCGAGTATTAATTTATAAAGATTTACTGTATAACATTAATTGCAGCGTTAGCGATTGCTAGTTAGGATGACTCGTAAGAATTCGAAATATCGTTTTAGTAAATTGAATCTAAATACCCAAAACATCATCACTATATCTTTGGTTTGAATTTATATATTTTAAATTTATTTAAAATATATATATATATATATATATATATATAAATTTAAAATATATATATATATGTTTGTGGATTGTGACTGGTTACGAATCCGATTTAGTTATTGATAATCAGAATTTACTCTCGCTATGATTTCCATTTCAACGAGCTACCAACACCAGAAAAATATCTTTATAAATTAATAAAAACATTTTATTAACTTATCGATAAACTAATAATTAATAATTAATTAATTAATTAATCTGTATAAATTAATAAAAAAATTTGAGTCTCAATATTATTAATTTATAAAGGTTTCATTGTATGTGATTTTGGTGAAATCGACCATAGTTCTTTAGTTCATATAATATTTTCAAAATTTTAAATAGTTCATGTAGTTATTAGCATTAGTTCATAAATCATATATGAATCATCAAGAATTTGAAAGTTTATAGGGGAATCAGCCACTTTTCACACCACGTGTCATCCTAGTCAGCAATCGCTAACGTTACAAATAATGTTAAATACGATTTTGGTGGAATCAACCATACTTTTTAAGTTTATGTAGTATTTTCAAAATTTTAGATAATTCATGTAGTTATTAGCATTGGTTCATAGTTTATATATAAATAGTTAGAAACTTTTTAGTTTTTTGGGTAATTAGCCGTTTTCTCTAAAAATCACTATCTCTATTTAACCTAATGATTTTCACATATCTATCTAATTGTTTTTTTTTGTAACTTATATCTATCTAATTGTTTCTCTACTTAAATGATGAACACTTTTACACCATTCATTGAATGAGACTTTTCATGTAATAGCATAAAAAGGTTTAAAATTTTCATTTATATTTGAATATTCGTTTGGTTCTGAGGTATTTTGACTATTTTTAGATTCTGGAATGGTTCTCAGATATAATTTCAGATAACCGTTTACGTTTTAGATAATACTTGATCCAAACCAAAAAGTAAAAAACTGATGAAAGAGAAGATCCAATCATACATTTTAGGGAATGCGAAACCCGATCTGTATTTTTCGGGTCGGTTTTGGTTTGGATCCGGGTATTTTGCCCATGCATCATAGTTGTTTGCGGCCGTCACTATTCGAACCAAAATCGAATTAATACCCAAAATTTTGGATAACTTGGTTCTGATACGGTTTAGGTAAACCGGCTGGAAAATCAAATTGTAACTGCTTTGATGGTGGAAGAAACTGGAGAAAGTACGTTTGTCTTCTTACAGTTACCAAAAGATGAGCCGGGCATTGTTCAGAAACGTCTTCGCGGACACCTTCTGGCTCATACGGCGTAACGCGGCGGCGGAACTTACTTCCGACGTTAGGCGATTGCAATCGAGGCCTTATATCCGCTCGAATCAGCTTCTCGTGAGAGCAAAGGAAACAGGAATCTCACCTTCTTTGGGTTTCTGTTCATCATCTTCTCCTTCCTCGTCGTTTGCGTCGGTGGGTTTTGTCGGATGGTATCTCGGTATGGTGAAATCACGCCCCGTTTTCACGAAAAGTGTCACTTGCTCTCTTATTTACATCGCCGCCGATTTGTCCTCTCAGGTACTTACTTTGAACATTGCTTGAGACTTTGGGTTTCGATGTGTTCCTCTGTATTGATTTCGTTTGAGATTTGTACCGGAAAAGTGGTTTTCTTTATGCTTAACTCTTCGACATTGATGCCTTAGTTATGAGATTGCAAATTACTGGAGAATTGGTTTGTTTTTGTTTAACTCTTTAAAATGGTTCTTCTCTTTTGACATTTATGCCTTTAGTTATGAGATTCACAAATATAAAATGGCTCAATTTTGTGGGAGGTGTTTATAGGTCTTGATCTTAATATCAAGTAAAGGTAAAAGAGAGCACAAGTAAAGTTTGATTCTTGTTGAATTAATGTGTACTTGAAACACAGAGGGGACTTCTTTTTCTTTTTTTTTTGGTAAAAAAGAGAGGGGACTTCTTGAAATGGTGATTGAATTTTTGCTGTTAAATGTGAAATTGAGATGTTACTTTTCTTTGAGTGTATTTTTTTTTTTTTTTTTTTTGAGGACTGAGTTTTAAAGCTGAACATTGGTCACCGTGTGTTGATCTTTTTCAACAGACGATTTCGAAAAGTTCTTCGGAGTCTTATGATTTGGTGAGGACAGCAAGGATGGCAGGATATGGTTTACTTATCTTGGGTCCAACACTTCACTATTGGTTCAATTTCATGTCAAGACTCTTCCCCAAACAAGATTTGATCACAACGTTTAAGAAAATGGCCATGGGACAAACGATCTATGGGCCTACCATGACCGTGATCTTCTTCTCGTTGAATGCATCCTTACAGGGTAAGCTTCTCTTGGGTTGTAACTTCTGTTTTTAATTTACTTGAGAGGTCACATAGGTTTCAGAACGTAGGTAACTTCTGCCTTTCTGCTTCTTGAATGTAGAGATCTTACCTTCATTATTTCTTGCTGTTAGGTTTGTCTAATCTTGGACTTGTCTTACAAATACACAAAGATACTTCCATTGATATCACGAAACCATGTTCTAAGCTATTCTGCATTCCGTTGTTTGTTCAGGCGAAAGCGGTTCAGAGATCCTCGCCAGATTGAAAAGAGATGTAATCCCTGCGATGTTTAACGGTGTCATGTACTGGCCTTTATGTGATTTCATAACATTCAGATTCTTCCCCGTTCATTTACAGGTAATATCATTTTTTTGTTACTTTTCATGGTCTTTGCTGCTCATTTCAGGATGCTCTCATTAACTCTGCTCTTGCTTTTAATATTCCTGCAGCCTCTTGTAAGCAACTCGTTTTCGTATGTATGGACAATCTACATGACTTACATGGCAAACCGTAAAAAACCAGACGCCATTTCAAGCTGAGACACAGCTTAACAAGCTTTCATTAAACTGCAATTAGTTAAAGACTTGAGCATCCTTTCACTCTGTTCTGTCTTTAGTTTAAGATTGGTGGTAAATGTAAGAATTTTGACGAGCAAACTACGAATGAGAAGCAATGTTTGTCTGCTTGGATGAAATGTAAGTAAGTGACCCTCTGCTGTTCTGTAAAACTGGAAGTTAAAATTGTCTTTTGCTTTAATGGAAAATTTGTTACATTTGTGAGACATCATGAGGTGAAAAAAATTACAGAAAAAAAAAAGAAGTAAAGATATCTGCTAAACAATTGGTATATAAACTCTATATATGTCCCTATCAGAACTTGTACAACCCCAAAGCTTTTCTTCAAGAACTCACTAATGACAATCCCATATCTATCAAGAATCTCGGGTAAAAGATGTATCACCAAATCTATCAATCAAAGATATCTGTTTTGTTTCCTACAACTTTTACTCATCCGAAGCACGAGAACAAACCTTCTCTAGCTGTATAGGCCAATCCTTTCCAAGAACCTGAGGATTCAACTCCACAGCAGCAAGAAAATCTAACATCGAAGCAGGCTTTTGTCGGCCCCGAGAGCTAGCCAAACTCAAACAAGGCTCGATAAGCCTTCTCATAAACGCATCCAATCCAATATTCAAAACATTCGCAGACTCCATGGATAACTTCATCCCTTCCATCTCCAGTTTCCTCTCCAAACGAGTCCTCAACGTGTTCGTATCAGGTAGCTCGCTGCTTCTTTCACAACCATTGACGCGTAAAGATGAAGACTTCCGATTTCGAGCTCCGTTGATGGAAACGCCGAGTGGAGCTGTTAACGAGCTTCTTCTTATGCTCTGCACATTCATCTGCTCAACCTCTTCTCCATCTTCTACAGAAGCAAGTCTTCTCACCTTCGACGCTGACTCATCGTTCGTAGTAGTTATACTCTGAGGCGTCCCGAGTGGACCGAGCGGACTCGGCCGGTCTCTGAGCTTCCTCGACCTGCATTTTCGCGGCGAAGGAGGGCTGTTTCCGGGTTTCTTGAGAAGATATCTCGGCGGAGGAGATTTAGCAACGGTTGCGTTCTTGAGAATCGAATGTATTAGACGGTTGTGAAGAAGGATGTGTTCTTTACCGATGGTCTTGATACAGAGGTTATCGAACTCCGACTTGCCTATCCTCGAGGTGAGGAATTTTCCGAGGTGATTGAAGTAAGTGTTTGCTCTTGAATGCCCGATTTTCTGGTAAATGAGGGCTTTGATCTCGAGAGTGTTCAATCGAGGAAGGGACTGATCAGATTTAGAACCCATCTTCTCCCAACAAAGTTCCACCTGAAAGCTAAATCCGAATTTCCAAATCCAGCTTCATGAAGATCCAGCGAATTAGGGAATCAAGACCTAAAAAACCCCAATTCTCAATTTTCGGAAAACTGATTTCAAAAACTCAATACGTTAGATTCTGGAGATTAAAGTGACAGAGAAGAAGTTCAATTTCGAAACATGAGGTTTGCAGAGAAGAAAAACTGACGAAATTTCAATTGGTCAGCTTACTAAGAAAGTAAAATCAAACACAGATTCTGAACAAATTCATTGAGAATTGGGTATTGGCGAACACAATGGAGGTGAGAACGTATCGGAAAATGGAGGAAACGATGGTGAAATTGAGAGGATCCGAAAGTTTAAAGAATCGAGCTTTTCTCGAAGAAACAGTCAAAACCAATCAAAATTGAGAAGGGAGAAATGAAAACCCAGGGTGATAATTGAAGATATTGACCGGAGATTAGAGTTGGAGTACGAACCAGTAGAAGCGATTGATTTAGCCGCGAACTTTGCTTTGTTGCAGAAGTGCTTCTCTTTGTGCCCTAAAGGGATTTCTCATTTTTGTTTTTCTTATGTTTAATATTATCGAGTTCTCGCTTGGTCTCCTAAGATACGCACGTATGAACAAAAAAAGCACGTAGGACAGAATGAAATGATTATTGAATAAAAAATTTATACGTCTAATAAAATGTTAGATTTTGAAACATTTTTTGAATGAACAATATTACCTTTAATATTTTCTATAATTTTTTAATAAATTAATTAGAATAAATTATTTTGGCATTTTCTGTTTTAAATGATGATTTATGTTTTAAATAATTAGTTTTATTTAATCAGTTGTATATTAAACTGCAAAAAATTACTTTTTAGTTTAAGAATAAAGTTAGTTGACTATGTATAATAAATAAACTGTATTATGTATTTGTTTTTTAAAAAGGTGATTCTGAAAAAACTATATAGTTTTAAGAAACTATTTTAGATAAAAATGAACTTGGACACATGACATATTACAACTATGTATATGAAATTGTTAGCAAACTTTTATTTTATTACAATAACCTTACTAAATAGTAAGGGTGGGCAAAATATCCGTTATATCCGCTTCGAACCGATATTTGCTTTGATCCGATTCGAAAAATATGGATATCCGTAAAGCTTCGGAGCAAAGCAAATAGCAAAATATAGTATCCGTACAAAACAGAGCAAATCACAAATATGTTTTTAGACAACGGCGGATATCCGATCCGATCCGTATCTTTATAAATTTATTATATATTAGCATATATTATTATGTATATATCAATTATATTATAAATTTTTATTAATATATTCTCGATTTTCTTCCTAAATTTTCAATTGTTTCTAAATTCTTTTGATTATATAAAATAAATGACTAAATAACCATTCATAAAAAATAATAATATGTTTAAACTTAAAATATGTTAATAAATAATATTTTATTTGATATTAGTTAATAAATATCAACAAAGGTTTTTAGTAAAGTTTAATATTAAAGTTTCAAATAGTTAATATTATTTTTAAATATAAAAGTTTATTTTTTCCTCATCTAAATTTTGTAGGTTTAATTTTTATAGAATTTTTTATAAAATAAAATGTTTTCTTTTAGTTATTTTATAAAAATTGTACTTTCAGTTTTATGTATATTAAACGGATCAAACTAAAAATTCATAAATATCCGTAAATATCTGCAAATATCCGCAAATACTTGTAAATTTTCCGGATATCCAAAAATCTGGATATCCGTATATTTCCGGAGCAAATCAAATCATAAAATTAAATATCCGTTAAAAACGGAGAAAACCACAAATACTTAAAAAATTTTGGATATCCGATCCGCGCCCACCCCTACTAAATAGAGTATTTACTAGAATAACATCCTTCTACAACTGACTAACTAAAATAACCTTACAAAGTTGTGTAAAGACATTAAAATCTAAATTTTTGATATAATAACGAAAATGCCATTTTCGTTATAAAATAATTTAAAAATGTTATTTTCGTAATAAAATAAAAAACACACAAAATATTTTATTATTTAAAATTTAAAATAAAAAATAATATTTTTTAATTATTATAGAAAAAATATATATATACATATATTAAATCTAATTTTTTTTCTCTCTCATTTCTTTTCCTTCTCTTTTATTTTTTTCTCTCTCTCTCTTTCTCTTTCTCTCTCTTTTTTCTTCTTCTCTCCGGCCAGATCTGGTTTTTCCGACCAGATCTGGTTTTTCTGATCATCTTTTTTATTTCTCTCTTCATTCTCTTCCTCTCTCTCCTTTTCCATTCTCTCTTCCGTCAAATCTGTTTTTTTTACTCATTTGTTTTCTTTCTCTTTTCTTTCTATATTTTTTTTTCTTCTCTCCGGCCAGATCTGCGACGGTTGATCCATGGCCGATAGAGCTTGTCTCCGGATCGACTTTTTCATCTTCTCTTATGTTTGGTTGTTTTTTCTCCGGCGGAATTTCCTATGGAAGCTTCAAAAAGTATGTGTATCTCTTCCCCGAGAAAGTGGTTTCAGAGACATTCTCTGGTGGCCGATCTTCTCAGAGATGGATGTAGCGGCGGCTTGCAACAGTTTTTGTTCCTAGGGTTTTTGTTTTCCCGTTTTAATAGGTTTTGGATCATTAAAATTCCGGTATCCCTTGATGGTAGATTTGATGTATAAATTTTATTAGTAGTTAAGCGTTACGGTTGATTTAATTATAGTATGAGATATGTTTTATTATGGTGGTAGATTTTTAATATATGTAACTTATTTGGTATAATAGATTTGATAATGATGGTAGATTTGTTTGATACACCGATTTGGCTTCTATATATCATAGAGCCCAATGTAACTTCCAGTAATCGACATGTACAAAGGGGGAAGACATTAGTAAATATAAATCTACCAGCACGGCATGCATAAATCTTCCACTAAATCATGTATAAATCTACTACGAACATACATAAATCTATCAACAAATCTACCAAATCAGAACATATCCTTACATTGAGTCCAAATCGTTATGTCAAAACATATGAGACATGGTTTGGCAGTATAATGGATTTAACACCACTTACAAACGTGAACCAAGAAGGTTTGCTGCCAAATGTTTTCAGCATAGAAGATTTTCCAAGATTTGAGTTCTAATATCGTGTACTTTCTACTGTGTAATATGAATCGATACTTCAATCTCGATGTACTTCGTTCAGTGAACATCTCTAAGTACTTTCTATATGTACTTTCTTTAACTTGTGTGTCCAGTAAGATCATCAAATTTTCCAATGCAGTGAACGTGTGTTTAACAGTCGAAATACAGGTTTCTCGAACCAAGATGGGAATGCAAAGTGCTACTGCAGATCTGTTGCCTAATGTTTTCAAAGCAGAAGAATTTCCAAGCTACAGGTTCAAACACCCATTAATGTGTTGCCACGAATGCTACCTTTTTCTTCTGTACCAACTACTTAGATTTCAGTTTTAATAGCGTTTATTTTCTACTGTGGATCGCTTTATCTATCTCTATGCACTTTGTTCGTTGAACATCTCTAAGTACTTTCTTTCTTTAAGAACTGCTTCTCTATATACTTTCTATAAATTTTGAAATGTAATGAACGAGTCTTCAACAGTCACTATAGAGGTTGAATCTCTTCACTGCAATATTCGCATTCTTATAACGTCCAAAATCAACATCTCACTGATCAACATTTGATTTCAACGTTCTTCACCATGAAATCACCATGAAAAGTCTATCACTACGCAATCACGATCTGTGAAAAAGTCAACTATCTACCAGCACATAATAAGTCTACCACTACGTAACATGATAAATCTACCACTGATGTTATTCTGGTAATTATGGAAAATAAAACTCTACCACTACGAAAATCAAGTAAATCTACCACAACAGCAAAATAACTCTACCAGGATTCGTTCGCACTAAAAACTCTACCATCACCAAAATAACTCTACCACCAAGTAAATACAGATTTAGGAGTAACAAAAATCTACCACCACAAATACTAAGTCTACCAAATGAAAATAAATCTACCAAGTCCAAAAACAAATCTACCGCCATTCAAAGTCAATGAACGTAAAAAGTCAATCAATCATCCTCTGGTAGGGTAGAAAACAAAAAATCTTCCACAACATATTTTTAAGTCTACCAAGTTTCCCAATAAATCTACCGTTCAAAAAACAACTCTACCGTTCCCAATAAATCTACTGCGTTGTAAGCACTTCATCGTCAACAACAAGTCTACCAAACGAAACAAATCTACCGGAAAAAAACAAATCTACCAGCCGTTGACCAAACGAAACAAGTCTACCGTCAAACAACTCGCTGACGTGGCAAAGGAAAAGTAATGGCATAATCGTAAATACCGTTTTTGCTATCAAAGGCTCGAAAGGCATAATCGGTACGCTAAGTTAGTTCAGTAATTACAAAAAAAATCAGCTATTCTAGCAAATACCCCTATTTAAAAGAGTATTCTAGTAATCCTCCCTATAAAAAATACTAAAACTTTGAATGATGATACATAAAAAAAAATTATGCAGATCAAACATAACAAATACAAAACAATCTAATATGTACATAACAAATACATATCAATCTAATATACATAAAAATTACATATCAAGTAAATAATTATTTTTTAGGAAGAATTACTGTACTAATTTTGAAAGATGGGTTTATGGCTAGAAAGACTTAAAACTTTTTTATTGCTAAACTAATTTAGGATACCTATTTTATTCTTAAAGCCTTTGGTGACAAAAACGGCAGTTATGATTGTGCTATTACTTTTCTCTTGCCACGTAGGCGCTTTGTTTGATGGTAGATTTATTTTTGTTGGTCAACGGATGGTAGATTTGTTTTCCGCTAGAGAACTTGGTAGACTTGTCATTATCGAGAATGCTGATACGACGTGGTAGATTTGTTGAGAAACGGTAGATTTGTTTAGAAATTGGTAGACTTATAACTATCGAT